CTGCCCTTGACCTTGGTGAATGAGGTAAATAGCAGGTTATGCCTCCAATGGAATATGGTGGAAGGCTGCTTGTACACTTACACTTACCCAAGGGCCAAATCCATATTTCAGGATTCGAACTCTTGACGCGACGTCTTAAGCAAAGTTGGAGCTTTTCTACCTTTCCCTTTTACCACTTGGAGATGTGCCATGGGGGTAGGGAGTAATATTTTATAAATTTTGATAAAGGTTGATGAAATGTTAACATAAATCGCGAGTCCCATGAAAAGTCTGCTTAAAAATAAATTTGAAAAAGAATAAATTTTAAGAAATGAAGGTCAAATATATGTTGATTATGAGAAAAATAAATTTTAAATAAGTTGCGTCAAATAAACGCTAAATGAATAAAAATTAAACAGAACTATAAGGTACATATATATTCTGTCACTCGAACGTTGTTTTGTCTCCTACGTAAAAATTGTGTATATAGTTTTTACCCTTACTTGTAAAAAAATATATTTACAGTAAATAAATAAATATTTTTTTGGCCCAAACGAGCCTGGCCACTTGAACTGTGGGCCTTATAACCTTGGCACCACACAAATCATACCCATACTGCTGGTGGGTTGTGCAGTCTCGAGACTCGAATTACACACTTGGCCCCCATAATTTGTCATTATTTGAAATTATAATTTTTGAAATAGTATATATTTTTTTAAACGTGTTACTAAAAAAGAAGAAATTATTTTGAGTTTAAGTGTAATATTATTTTATTGAAAAATGTATGATTTATAAAAAATAAAGAAAATAAATTATAATTTTAATGGAGACCAAGTAGGACTGAGATGAGCTCATTTTACACTTTATAATCAATCCACAAATAATTGCATTGATTTACAGTTCATTAGGGAAGCACTAAGCAACGTAATAGAAAGAGCGAATAGGAGGAAATTGTGGGAAATGTTCAATTTTGATACCCCGTTTTTAAAAGAGTGATGTAATTCGGCATCATTGATGTCAAACACTAGTTTATATGATAACTAGTCTATGTGGCTTTAAATGATAGATTCAATGAAATTTATTTAATTTCACCTATAATTTAATGTCACATTAACGTCACGTAAACTGTATTTTCATTTCCAATGAGGATAAATAGCATTACTCTAATTTAAAATGTAAAGTATTGAAATATGCAGTTGAGCATATTGTATTTATCAAATCGTTTGAAGATCCTTTGAGCTGTACTAATCATGACAAAATAGAATAGCAAACAGCTTAATCATAATTACAACTAGGCATAAAACATGTAGTTAAGTGGATGATTCATTCTTTTATTTATTTTAAAATAAAAACTATTGGCAACTAATTATTAGGCCCATGTTTGATAGCCATTTTTTCGTGCAGTATGTGTTTTTTTAAAAGTAAATTTTGAAAAATATTTGATTAAAAAATAAAAAAAATTGGGATTTACATAAAAAAAAAATTTCAATGTAAAAATGTGTGATTGAAAGCTATTATGGAAAAAAAATTGAAATAATGGTTGTCAAACGGGCTAAACTGTAAATTCATAAAAAGATTTTCTTAAGTCGTTTATTAGTGTTTGTTTGACATTGCTTATTTGAAAATCACTCATTTTTAAAATACGTTCTCTTATTAAAATAATTATAAATATGATTAATAATTTTTCTCTATATTTTAATTATTTGTTCTTTATAAAATCATTTTTCACTTTAAATAATTCCTCACAAACAAACTCTTAGATCTGCATCTGCTTCAGCTTGGCACGTATTCTTTAAAATTTATTTTTTTCTCAAATTCATTTTCAATTATACATTTTTAAAAAATAATTTTACAGATAATTTTTCCTACTTTTAGTTGAACATTTATCATAAACAATTTACTACGAAATAAGTTACATCAAACGGATCCCTGACCCTTTCACGATTATTAAAAAAAAAGGGTGCAGAAAAGAAAAAAATAAAATCCAAACTGTTATGACGTTAACGTTGACATTAACTCAAATCAGAATTGTTGTTTTTCCCGGTCAAATATATACAAATACAATATACATAGATGAACCGGTTCATTTCCCCAATTATTTCATGTCCAGATTTCTTCTACAATTTTTCATGCATTAATTGTATGTTTAATCAGAGAAATTTCGCATCCAAATTGATTTGTAGATATAGTAGTGATATACAATATGTTAACGAGTTATCGCCGGATGACTGCCGGTGCCAGTGCCGCCGCGATGCCGGCGGCAAATCCTCACATTCCGCGTCGACACTCAGTAATTCTGCAAATGGACCGTCCACAGCTCCAGCTCCGAGGTAGAGTAGGAGGACACGGCGTTTTACGATCGAGGAATTGGGTAATTGAGGCGGCGGTGGGGTCCATGGGAGGAAGAGGATTGAGATCGACAGGCGAGGAGGATGTGAAGAGGAAGGTCCAGCCACCAAAGTGTTGTTCGTGCGACCATCAACATCAGGAGGTTGTGGCGGTGGAGAAGAGTATAGGCGGTGATCGGAGGGTGGAGGTGGTGGTTGCGGCAGCGACGACGGTGGTGCTGGGCGTAGGCAATCGGGTGCTCTACAAGCTTGCGTTAGTCCCTCTCAAGCACCATCCATTCTTTCTCGCTCAACTCGCCACTTTCGGGTACTGGTTTTTACAGATTCTCAATTCACTTTCACTTACTTTATTGTCTAAGGAAAATGCTATGGTACACCCGACATCCCATCATTGGTGGCGCACAGGGTGCACACAAACAAATAGTAGAAATTTCTTCGAATTTTGCACTTTCCAAAAAATTATTTTAACTTTCATTGGACGACAAACTGGCCGTGCCATTCGACCCATTTTAAGGACGGCTCAGACTTGTTTGAGACCATATATCAGGTAGGATCATGGGTCACGACAGGGTCCACGAGCAGACATATCTTGGGCTCTTAGATGGCTTTGTTCAATCATGAAGTTCACGAGTCAAATAGTCAAATGAAGTTCAATTTGAGGACACAAGTCGAGCTTGTTTCGTCTCTGAATCTATGGATCGAATCGACTCGACTCGAACCATTGCTATCCCTAATTTTTTCATTCAATGTCAAATTCTTAATGGCGCCAAAATTTTGACTTCAATATATTATATTTGTGTATTTCGACACTCGTAATCACTTTCACACATTTTAAATTTGTACTTTGTTTGATAACTTTGTATATGAGTTTTTCTCAAAAAAATATCTTAATCAATTTTTAGGGTACCTTGAAATAGGCTGCAATTTTTTTAGTTCAATTTGGCGGTGGAAAATTTGACCACGAGCACGGGGCAAACAGTCTTTTCACATAAAAGTCGCTGAATTTTTGTTTGACATAGATAGTTAAAAACTTGATATGTTCAACTATGGGAGGACAAAATATATTTATATATAAGAAAGACGTGTTTAACATAATTACGTTTCTTTCTTTTCATATTTCTTGACAAAATATCTTTATATAAAAAAAAGAAGAGTTTGAAATAATTACGTTTCCTTCTTTTGATATTTCTTTTTATTTTTATAATAAAATGTTATTTCTTAAACCTTTCAAAAAGATAAAAAAAAGCTATTTCTTAAAACTAAATATTTTTTATTTTTTTTGGATTTTCGTTTCTTGTTGTAACGAAATAGTTATTTCAACTGTTGATACTTTATCTAATTTCTATAATTTTTACGTACAATCGTTTTCTTTTCAACTAGGAATGATTTATTAAAGGAAAGGTGACGTAATCAGAGCCTGACGTGTCAGATTGCCGCGTTTTTTGTGTCTCATTGATAGGGGCGCCCAAGTGACATTGTTCATTGCACGTGGTCCTCTATTCTCCTTAATTTACTTACAGCAGTTATTTTCCGTATTAGTGTTCCAAATCATACATAAACAGTAAAGACTTGATAAAGCCATAAAGGGTGGTTTACTAGTGACATTTCTTTCTCTCCATCTGGATGGTTTTCTAGTGTTTTTTAAATCAAAATGAGGCTCATGTGCGAGCCATATGGTGATTATCAGTTTATGGGTCCCATTAAAATGAGAACCGTTGGTAGAGACTTGGATCTCAAGTGGTGGATCCCACCAACCAACAGCCACACAGCCTCATAGAGTCAGATTTTCCTTCATGTGCATCCAAAAGGCAGAAACCATGTGATCCGGGGAAAAAGATTCGATCTTCTTATTTGACTCAGAACTCACGTGCCTAACACAGGCTCCTGGAAAAAAAATCAATTGAACATCTTTTTTAATGAATAGGAGATAAAAAAATGAAAGATATTGAAACCTTTGTGTCTCTTTTCTTTGGTCTTAAGAGGAGATGGATGATTGTTTTTGCATGCGGTGTAACTTATTTGAAAAGAGTTTGATACCCCCAGTCCTGGACTTTCACTCATTTTAGGAGTCATTTTGACTTTTGGTTCATTAAATCAGAGGACTGTAGCGTAACAAATAACAATACCTGGAGCCTCTTCTGTTATCTGTGATCATAAATAGGATAATTTAGTGCTGTCCCATTGGAAACCTTCTACAGTTAAAGGAGAGGAAAAGGAATGTCAAACTTTCACCTGTTCATAAGTGCGTGCTGTTTGGATATGATGGGAGATCGTTTGAAGAAATAAGATTGTATTATTGTGTGTTGAGTCATTGACGTCGTTTATATCTGTATAAAGTATTGCAGCTAAGTCGTTGCTTGTATAAAACGTGCCACCTTGGTGGTTGACTCATTGTTCGTCTGGATAGCACCAATGCATGTCTAGAATTTGCAAAAAGTTTGCTGTCCAATAGCTTTAAAAGATTCACATCCTCTTAAATATGATGCTTGAGCAATGTGTTAGATTTTCTTCAGATACTATACAAGATCAGATTAATTACGAGGACCAGATAGCTATTATATTTTTGGACATAATGCTGTATAAATTGATAGCATAGGCAAATGTTTCATATCCATGCTTTAAGAGCTTGGAGCTCTTTCTTCAAATGTGTAGGTAAAATGAGGTGATATGAGTGCAAGTTTATGCATAGAGCTTACAGAATACTAGACTTGGAGATGCTAACAACTTACCAATTCGACATAAACCTATACTATTTATCTAAATTTATTTTTGAGTTTGAGCACAAACCAGGATGGTGTTGGGTCGGAAGAGGTATTTTTGGGGAATCATTATTCATCAATGGAAGTGGATTGCTTGTACAAAATCAAAAACTGTCTGAGGAAGCCTCTTAATGCAAAGGAACTAGCCTCTCTTGTTGCAGTTGAACTGAAGAATTTAGCTGGTGAAGTTACCAAGCTATCATTACATAATGCAAAATTTGAAAAAGAGTTACAATCTGCTTATGAGATGATGAACCTTAAAAATGGTGGTTATGCTCCAAATATTTCCAGCTTTAAAGAAGGTTTGGATCTTGTAAAGGAGGCCATTGGCAGAACAGTCTATGATGACAAAATAAAGATAGCAATTAATGTTGCCGCTACTGAGTTTTGCATAGTTCTCAAATGGTGCAACCCAGACTTTCACCTAGAGGACAAGGTGAATTTTGGGGGCAGGGTATTGATAGGCCACGCATCCAGTGAAATATACCAGAAGCAAGAAAACAATAAGGGCATAAAAGGAAAACAACCTGGAGGCATTCGATCAGCACATGGCGATTTCAAAGGCAGTTAGCAAAGTTGTTACCAAGCAACATCTATAAATGGAAGCAGTTAAAGGGGGGAAGAGGCAAGCAGAAATTGAGTATAGACTTGGGGGAGAGAATTGGCTCTCTCGAAAAGCCAAATAATACCTTTTATTTCATTTCATTGTTGCTAAATAAAATTACATAGAATTAGACAGTGTGTTTCTGTCATCAAAATACAAATTCCGCATTTACAATAATTCAATTGCAGTTATAGAAAGGTCTTCGTTCCAATCATTTGGTGCTGGTCTTTATCTTCAATTGCTCTGTTTTCGGTATACTGTTGCAGGAACCTGTCACAACTATAATATTTATTATCAAGTTAAGGATCCAAAACTTGATATTATGAGATCAGTTATGATGTTCACATTTTTAATTCTGATATTTTAAAGAAAATAATCGCCGAATATTTTTGACATATTTTGTTTTTCATTCTCTGGAAAATGTCAATTGCCACCAGCATAATGAAGCACAACATTGCGGGATAAACTATCATGTCTACCCATGGTTTCAAAATTTCACATTTTTTTGATAGTTTTACTGTTGCTGATTTTTTATGACTTAAAACTCTTTATTGATTCTGCGGTCCATTTACATCTCTTTCCAGGTATATAGTTGTATACTTCTCTATCTTGTATCTCCGTTATCAGGCTGGCAAAGTCACTGATGAAATGCTATCTTTGCCCAAGTTTCCACTAATTGCTGTAGGCCTCTTGGAGGCTCTTGCTGCTGCATCTGGAATGGCTGCAGGAGGTAATCCATTCTTGATGTTTATGTCGTTGTTCTTTCTTTTCTTCTTGTTCTGGAAGGAAGATGAGATAATCATAGTAGGATTTTGGATTTTCGTACTCAAGTTAGTTTATCATTGTATTAACTAAAGTAGGCGTATAAATTTTCTGTTTGTTGAGTGTTGAACTCAACATGTTTTATACTACAGTTACTGACCTCTGGTAAAAATAAACTCGCCGCACATAAATAAAAGTTTTTGTCAAAGCAAAAATCTGCTGAACTATATGAAATTGTATCTCTACAAATGGGAAAGAATCGAAAAATAGGACTCCGTCATAGTCCAAAGCCAATATAATCGTTTCAGAGCTCTTACAACTCTCATGAAGCAGAACAAACAAAAAAGAATGGAAGGCTTCATAAAACAAAACAAATCGGGCTTACTTTTTTTTATGCTACTCATTTATTACACTGTAGAAATATAAAATATTGATCATATCATTCAATAGCAGCGGCGGTGAGAGAATAGTCAGATGATTGAAGTAGTCAAGTAGTAAATACAAAAAGATGAGAAGCTGTTTGGTTCAGGAATGCAAAATCTTATGGCAAATGACAAGTTTATTGCCTGATGTTGCTGTAATGTTTCTTACACCATGCATTCATTGTCAATGCCTGTATTAGATGAAAAATGTGTTGTATATATTATCTATAAAAGCCTGGTTCAAGGCTTTGTGAAAGTTTCTTAAAACTGTTGAATGTGTAGTTGGTTTTGGAAATTTGGTTCATGGAAGTGAAATGTTGCTTGCATGAAGTTATCTTCTCCTGGTTTATTCTATCGTTTAGTTAACGGTTCATATCATTATATTCCAAATTGCTTGTCTTGTCTTTATGAGATTTGGAATAGCCATTGACTGTATATTTATTTATTGCGTAAGAATTTTTGTTTTGAGGCGTTACACTAGTATTTCTTAGTTTTAGTACAAGGATATTTTTAGACTAGATCTTGTTACTTTTGAAGCAGTTTTACTTCATCATATTTACATATCTTTGTTAAGAGATTCAATTCTGATTTTCCTTACATTGTTTTTCCGTATTGAAACAGCTATTCTTTCTGGTGCAGCAATTCCTATTCTATCTCAGGTGATGACAATTTATAATTGATTTTCTTCTTCTTTTGTGGTCATAGTTGGTGCAATTCTTGAATTAAAAAGAGTTGCATTAACACTGATCGATGTTTTTTCCTATAGTGAAAGTGTCTTTTCTGCTAACTGAATTATTCTCGTTCTGTGCTTCAGACCTAATTTGGTCATTCTGTAATTTTTGCAGAGCTTTCTTGTTTGGCAACTTATCCTGTCTTATATCCTTCTTGGGAGGAGATATAGTTTTAACCAGTTGTTTGGATGCTTTCTTGTGGCAGTTGGAGTTATCATAACGGTGGCAAGGTAGTTTGCTTTTTACGCACACACATATGTAATTTAAAGAAGTCGACAAGTTATATGTCTATTTGAAGAATAACGATAGCTTGTAAAAGACATGTTATATATGGAAAAAGTGCATTGAATGATAAACTTGAAAGCTTCAAAATTCACTTGACTTAATTTGAATATGTTTGTCAAATTTAAGGTGAGGGTCATCTTATAAAAAATTCAGCTCTTATTTTGGTGAATTTTTCTTGTCAAATTTTATTTTGGTGAGTACTAAAACTTACAAGTGAATGCTAGGTACTTCAGATATACTAATATTCAAGGAAGAATGTTAACTTGAACGGGGAACAAGAACAAACATTAGATGTATACACAGAAACGAATTTGACGATTGTTTTTCCTTCCATCGATTCTTCAATACTTGTTTTGATGATAAACCTTTAAGAAGGTTGATGCAGCACTTCTAATGATTCTGTACTTCCATTATTTATTGTCTAAAGTTTGAAAATTTTTGGAATCTAGTTTTTCGATTACTGAACTACTTCATTGTATATCAGCAACTCATTGATGCCATGAACAACAAGACATATCTCATTCTAGCAGCTCTTTCGTAGGTCTGTAATTTAAATAGAGTAATAGATGACATTGTTCACGTTTGGCGAACCCTAAAATATAGTTAAAATTAAACAAGTAAGTCTTAAAATAAATTTTTTTGTTGGTCAAAGTTGGAAACAAATAGGAAAAAGTAACTTATGGTTTGGAAACGTAAATTTACATAAGATAAGTTCAAGTTACATTTAAGCTTAGCTAAACATGCTCATTGTGGTTCCTACATCCCTTAATATTGTTATATATACTGCTCACTTCTTTTGCGTGCTTTGCAGTGGATCTGGTGCCGATTCTCTGATGGGAGCTGGTATCTTTTGGAGTCTGTTGATGATCATTTCTTTCTTGTTACAAGCTGCTGATACAGTCTTGAAGGTACCTATCTTTCTCTGTGGCATTATAATTGGGTGGTCTTCGTGTCCCCATTACATTCTCTTACTGTGAGATTTATTATTTGTAGGAAATAATATTTTTGGATGCTGCTCAAAGATTAAAGGTAGGTATGTCGCAGTTCCTATCTTAGTACATGCAACAAGTTGTGTCTTGAAGTTTGGATATGTTGGCAACATGTGAAAATTATATAGCTTTAGTGTTAGTGCATAAATTTTTTCATTTAGATTACTCCAATTTGGGAGTAAAAGACTTGTCCCTAATGAAATATCATTAAAATATCATATTGACATTTATTTTGAAATCTTTGGAGTTAATCAATTTATAGAAAAGAAACTGCTTTGGGCAGTGGTGAAATACATCTCAAGGGGATATCGGTCTAGGAGCATACTTGTTGGATTCAGATACAAATGGAGTTGCACAGAACCTTTTTTGGTGATACTCGTATTGTATCACACCAAAGTCGTACTATGATGTTTGTATTATAATTTATCATGTTCAAAGCCTGCTTTTTATGATGCATGCGTTCTGCACCAACATGCCTATAAGTTTTATGTGATACCAAGTAGTTGATTGTTGTTAGCTGAAGATGCACATTCATTCTATTCAATTTCCAATGTATTAGTCACATTCAAAGCCTGCTCTTGTATCTTAAGAAATTATTAATTGAGTTAATGCAAGTTGTTTATCATTTTATTTTGTTTAGACCACACTTCAGAATATATTGAATGATACAAGTACTACCATATCATATGAAAATGGGACACACCGACATAGTTACATGACATTTTGCTCGTCTTTATACAAATCATGGGATATGTATTTAACTTCATATGGTTTCAAGATGTAACAATAACTTTGGATATATTTGTGGCTGCACTGATGACAGGGAGGCAGCGTGGATCTATTTGTTATAAACTCTTTTGGATCTGCTTATCAGGTTAGATATTAAGTTTCGTAGAGCTCTTTGAAATTGTGGCTTTACCATGTACTTAAATTTCACTGAGAGCCTGAGAACTCTGTTAATACATGTACAGGCAGCTTTCATATGCCTCCTGATACCCTTCTTATCAAACTTATGGGGTATTCCATTCAGTCAACTTCCAAATTATCTTAAAGATGGTTCAGCCTGCTTTTTGAACATTGGTACCGTGTCAAAGAGTAAGTCATTGTTACTCATGATTCTGCTTCTTTATTTATTTATTTTTTAATTTGTTCATGTTGTTCCCATCAACCTTCGATTTAACAAGTTTTTTCGTGCATTTAAACTGTATGGCATGGCTTACATATTATGTAAGATCAACTGTATCCTTTTTTTTTGTTTTAAAATTTCTTTCTGATGGAAGAAGAATATTTTTAAACTACTTGATTTTGAAGGTTAATATGAAGATGGTTCCATGCTTTTTCTGTAAAACACATAATCAACATGTTTATATTTCCAATTTCTCCTGTAAATAGAACCCCAGTGTATTTAAGTTCAGTTTAAAAGTGGAATATTGACCACAAATTTCTAGTTTCAGATAAGAAGTAGCAAGTTGAATTTCCATTTATTGACACCAGTCACTTTTTCCTTTTAAATCGGAAGATGGAGGATTCTAAGATTGCAAAACCTCTTTCGTCTCAGCTGTTGCTTGCTCTATTTTATGCTTTGATTGTTAAGAGTTTGTGCATCAACAGTCTAGTATATTAAAGAATATAGGCTTTTGTAATTGCCGAAGATAATTAATGAGAGTGAATTGAGAAATGTAGTGTAACTGTGTAATGAAATCTTCTAAGCTTTACAGTTGAGAACGATTATTGCCTTCAATTCTTAAACGGGAACTTGAATTCGATGAAATTAGAAGAAGCCTACCTTGAAATTATATTTTCTATCAACGTTGTTAAGTATGAAGATTCGTTAGAAATTTCACAGTTGTGAAAGGATACTTTAGAAATTTGATTCTGTAATGGAATTTTCTTTCTATAGAACATTGTGAGTTCTTTTAAGTAAGAAATACTGACTTTTTACACAGAAATTGCCATAGTGTTCAAATAATTAAGAAAGGGCAAAGTATTACTTTCTTCATGTCACATTATAGATAATCATTATGCCATTAGATACCAGAATATATGAGTAAAAAGATTATATACACCTATACGATGTTTAATTTAACTCCATTTGTATGTAAAAGTAACAACTGATGACATATTTGAAACTAATCACAGGCTGTGATGGTGCACCTTTACTGCCACTGCTCTTTATTATTGTGAATATGTGTTTCAATGTTTCCTTGCTGCATCTGCTCAAGATCTCTTCTGCTGTGGTATCTTGTCTAGCATCAACATTTTCAGGTATGTCGATTGTTCTACATCGCTATATCTTTCCTACAACTGCACCTTCGACTAGTCAATAGTTTGTGTATACCTTTGAAATGCAAACCCTTAATTTTTGTGAAAATGCGATGTCAGTCATGAATAGCCGTGATTAGTTTAAACCTAATCCCAAAAATGTCAATATGTTGCTAATCTCATTGTACTTAAAAGGGCATGTTTGGAACACTGTACTTGACAGAACCAGAATGCACAATGGATAAGATATTAGCTTCTTTTTCTCTAGTTTGATAATATCCAGTTCTCAGTAATCCACCTTATCAAAGAAGCGAAAACGTAATATGGATTTATAGTGACAAGAAGGACCGGAAACACCTTTACTGCTGCAAAATTTTAGATTTACTCCCTAGATTTCATCTTGAATTTAGTTGTCATTTCAGTTCACTATGTAGCGTTCATTACTTTTGTCCTAATTAGTTATGGATAGAGAGTTGGTTGCAGGACCTCTTGACTGAGGAAAAGCAATTGAACAATAGAAGTAGTTTGTCTTCAAACTCCAAAGAGAAATAACCTTGCAAGGGAAGAAGAAACATCCAATTTTATTATGAGAGGATGATAGTTGAAAAGTGCTAGTAGTATTATATATGTAGGTTTTACCCCGAGCCAGCTGAATCTCCAAAATGCTTGAAAGAAACAATTACTAGCAAACATACTCAAAATATCACAAACCTTTATCCAAAAGTATAAAACCTTGAAATATGAAAGTTCCCAATTGACCCAACACAGACTCAATAGTAAACGACATTTATGAGATACTTCAGAAAAAATAAACAATCCAACAGACCCTCAGAATAGCTGCATTTCAAGCCCAAAAGCTATGTCATGTGGCAACTGGCAAGCCCATTATCCCTGTTGTAGAGCTTGAAATAGCTTTTCATGTGTATGTTGTACCCTGGGTAACTTGTCAGTCTCTCCAGAAAGTTTTCTGGTTTGAAGTTCTTTCATTGCACATCACTTTTTTTAGACTTTCGACGATCCAAACACTTCAAATATATGGAATTCCATAGCCCTATTTATGTAATGGACTTTACTCCACATCAAATTCCGAAGAACATAGGTTGATTTTTATGTTTTTTCAATCCACATCCAGCATAAGTTTAGAGCTAATTAGAAACCATTGTTTTTGTCGAAATCCCGATAAAGAAATGGGTAATTTCTAACAACGTTTTTATACTCCATATTACAAGACTGATTTTAACGTAGAGAAGATGTAAATATCACAAGACTTTTATTTTCTGATATTTCGGTGGAAGGTGAATTATAAGACACTGTTATCTCATACTTTTATTTGTCAAGTATGAATACGCGATCAAGTGTGAATTATTAATATTAATCTCATCATTTCTTGGGTTGATAAAGGTCTAAAAAATAATTCAGCGTACTTCTCCTTGAAAAGTTGTATTTTTATATTTTTCTCCAAACCATGGCTTCTTACTAACATTAAGTACGTCTCTCAACTCTTGTTTTTGCAGTGCCAATATCTGTGTATCTATTCACGTTGCCTCTCCCTTATCTTGGGGTTGCATCCTCCCTACCACCTGGCTTTGTAGGAGGTGCCGTTGTCCTTGTTGTGGGTGTGCTTTTTTACACTTGGAGACCGTCAGAGAGTTCCAAATGTGATGCCTCTCTCGTGAGTTAGCTACAAATCGGATAATGTTTTCTTGACCTTCTTATCAGCATCAATGCATTGAGACACTGGAGGCAGGCACTTCTGGAGTTGCTAGTCGGTTAGAAAAAGTCCAACATAAATAAGGACATAAAGGTCCCATTGGCATTCAAGAATATTTCTGTTCATACCTCAGAAATGTCATGCTGTATCATCTTGCCTTTGCTCCATTTTAAATCTGATGCTAACTATTTAGGAGGAAAGTACGTCCTTAAGTCGGGTTCTTAAGCCGCTGTTATCAACTAGATTCATGTCATTGTACTCAGAAAAAAACTAGAGAAAATCACTTGGTTTATTTGATCCAGATTGAGCAGAATTCAGTAGGTTCTTGTGCTCCCTGATTATGTACTAGAATAATAGGTACTTGATGTACAAGAACCCCTGTTGAGTCTTGATTTGTGATTTTGATTGCGAAATTAAATTTCGATCAACAAGTTAGATTGATAAGAGGTGTTGAAGATATGGAAAGAATAATCTCTATGATATTTTTCCAATAGTGTAAGATTATTTTCCTTAATAGTTGATTGTATAATTATTATGCAATCTTTTATTTTAGAGTTATTTATAGCCCTATAAATAGGGCCCTTTAATTTGTAATAGAAACAAGTTTATTATATACAATTTATAATATTTTTCACATGGTATTAGTGCAGTTTCGATCCTAAACAAATTAACCTTTGAATTTCGTTTCCGACGAGCGGCCTTAAGCCCCTCGTCCGGCTACAAATGTTGTTTTTTTTTCTTTTCGAATGTATCCCTTTAGTTTAGTATATGTCCAATTCATTTGGAATTTGGTTTAGTATATGTCCATTTCATCTGGAATTTGATTTGGTCTTAGTTCGGTGTATCCGAAATTTGAAATTTGCATCCAGTTTATTTGGTATTTGTCGAGTTAGAATTTGAAATTTGCTTCCAGTTTATTTGGTATTTGTCAAGCTGGAATTTGAAATTTGCATCCCTTTGGTTTAGTAGTGGATGCGTTGGTTACTTGCAGATATGGGTGTTCCTTCTTCCTCTCCAACCCGTATTAAGATTGACTATCATCTGATTTCTCCTTCAAGTTTTAATGATTGTTTGGTTAGATTGATGGATGATGATTTTTCATTATCATCAACTTTAAGTTATTTGTTCAGCTTGGTTGACATACAAGCAATTTGAAGATTTGATTGGATCGATTTATCTTTCAAACTCAATTTGATTGTTGCTTATTGAGTTTAAGGGAGGGTGTTGAAGATATAGAAAAAATAATCTCTATGATATTTTTTCAATAGTGTAAGATTATTTTCCTTAATAGTTGATTGTATAATTATTATGCAATCTTTCATTTTAAAATTATTTATAGTCCTATAAATAAGGACTTTTAGTTTGTAATAAAAATATATTTATTATATGTAATTTATAATATTCTTCACAAGAGGAAAGTCATACTTTTTCTATTGTAGAATAAAATCTGAGAAATACAAAATAATTTTTTTTTATATAATTGCTCGTGCTAATGAACTTTTTTGTGCATTTCTTTTTCTCTATAATAATGCAGAAATGACACAAGCATTGAAAGTGATTTGTTCTTTCATATACATTAAGTTTACTCTCTCTTATTTCTACTCACTTTTTGCAAGATGATGCCTTTTCAATGTCTAGTAATCTTTACCTCATGCATACTCGTATATAGGAGGTGATGCTCGACGATATATTGCAATATTCTTAGTTCTTACAACAATCTACAATTTTCAAGTTAATCTTCCATATACTTGCAACAACATATATACTTTTATTTCTTGTTTTCTTGTTTCGGTACATGAAACCTACCAAATTTTGTTTGCAATCAACATAAAAATTCTTATGCAAATAAATCCTCGATTTCTTCTTCAGGAACTTGCCATTTGTATCTTGTACTTTTTCATAATTGGGGTCGTTTTTTCCTTGTACCAATAAGAATTTGTTCCACTTGTTGAAGATGTAGAAACTGTCAGTATTATAAGGAGGGTTCAGCACGTCAATGGTTTAGGCAGTGGCATAATTTCAATCCCTGCCTCCAACATTTTCACCACATCACTCATTTAAGTGTGAAATGGATGAACCACAAATGAACAATGATGGAGTGATCCTCTCTTTTATAGTAGAGGAGTGATGTTAATGTTAAGGATGAAATGGGAATTCAAAAAACTATAATCCGTTCTTACTACCACCAAAGTCAACTTTCAGTTTTGAAAAGCTAAAATGTGACTTGCCAACCCACACGGCCCTACATCTTGACAAAATTGAAAGCAATTACGTATTTGCTGTTGCTTTTTCTCTTCTACCGCAGAAGAATTGCTACAATAATTACACGTGTGTAATTGCTTTTTCTTCTAACAAGATTGCTACAGTACAAGCCTACAGTAGCTACATTTTTCACACATATTTTTGTTCCAGTTTTTCCATTTGTACATGAAGGGGTTGACAACGTCTCACAGTGGTGAGTCC